TTCTAAAGCAAGGGGAAGAGCTGCAAGTTTAATATATATAGTTGTAGATTTATTCCCTGTTGGTGGTGACTGGCTCAGGCCATAGATATGTATATAAACAGTGTTTTTATACATATCTATATACATAAACAGTGTTTATATATATAGATATGTATATAAACAGTGTTTATATACATATCTATATATATATAAACACTGTTTATGTACATAGATATTGCTCAGGCAACCCCAGAAGTTTAGTAGGACGCAAAGAAAAAAAAAAAAGAACAGAAAGAAAAAAGTTTAGAAGGACGCAGCGTGGCGCTCTGGACCGATGCGTGCGCAGGCGGCTGCATCGATCTTCTCACTCCTCCAGTCACGGGGGAATTAAACGTTCATGTTTTTAAAGAGTTTTTGTCATGGTTTTTTCTCTATTTAGATATTTGACCCACATACAAGATGACTCTCAAGAGACCAGGAGATGTAGTAAAAAATAGTTTATTAGAGGAGAGCGGAGGGATGGGCTGGTTCCGGAGCTAGAGATTGGGTCACTGGAAGAAATGACACATGAAATGATGATCGGGACGGGGAGATATTTATATAGATAGTGGGGAGAGTTCTTAATGAGATTTGGTTGTTGCGGAGCGTGGGAGAGGTGAGCCGGTACCGGGGCTGTGGGTCGATGTGGAGGTTCGGAGCTGTGAGGCGGGTTGCTGGAGGGTGAACAGGAGACGCACGGGAGGAGAACAGGATTCAGCCGTGGTTCAGGAGATCCGGAAGCTGCAGAGGCTGGTGTGAGACTTCCACACAAAGGTGTAATCCAGAACGGGTTCTAGGAATCCTGTGATGACAGACAGAGGTTTCAGGGAACAGACCAGAATAAGTTCAGATAACAGGAACAGATTCAGGTGGCTGGACGTTACCACTAAGGCAAACAATCTGGCGCTGAGTGGCTGGTTCACTGGCTCCTTTATTCCTCCCGTACACATGATGGGCTGCAGGTGAGCAGGGTGACTCTGCAGCAGAGGTAATTAGCTGGATGGAGTCTCCTTAAGTGTCGCTAGGACGTTGCGTGTCTCCGCACTGACGCAGACGGAGAAGCATGAATCAGGCGTTAGAAGTAAATTTTGACTTCAGGAGAAGAGAGGAAGTCACTATTGTAAAGCAGCAACAAAGGGAGCAGAATGTCCATTTCTTTTCTACGCTCCAGTCGCTCTGAAATGTTTCAGTGAGTGTTTGTTCTCGTGACTAGAGCAAACAAGAGAAAACTTTTCTGGTCAAACAAAATTCAGAGGGAGTCCACATTTTGTTTTTGAGGCCTTAGAGGCAAACCAAGCACATACCAAATCAATCCATCTAATTTATCTCAGTAATAAAACTCTGCCTTGGGTCGTGACATTTTTGCAACACATACTTTTGTGTAAATGAATGTTGCCTGATCAGCTGACTCAGAAAACCACAGCTACACAGCAAGAGTTATATATTATTTTAACCACATTTTCATCAAGTGCTGCACAAAATACTGTTATGGCACCCTCATCTGGCTGGAATAAAAACACATCAGAGGCCTCAATGTAAAACAAAAAAAATTAAGAACAACTACAGCAACATGAAGAACACCGATCAGAGAACATCTTTTGAGTCGACATAAGCATGTGTGATAAGCACAGGAGATTAAATAGCTTAAGGGGAAATTAGATTTCCCAACTCAACAATGGCAGTGGGACAAATGAATTAAAATCAGGCTCTATTTTAAAACCCTCACACCACTGTCAGATATATACATTAATTGCTCGGTTGTTGAATGGGCGCAGCGGTCGTCAACTTACTATAAAAAGAAAATGTGCAAAACAAGTTGAAAGAAAAAAAAAATCACAAACATGTTAATCATCCACAGTAATAAGGAACACAAATACATAAACCATCAATAATAGGCAACAAGGAGACACCCAGCCTTGAACCTCATTACCACTGAGGTGTGCAGTTATGTACAGGAAGTGGTTAATTGCACCTGAATTGCTTCGGTGCATGAAATGTGCTAAATAAATAAAGCTGCCTTGTCTTGCCTGTCCTCAGCTCTGCATGCAGCATCGAGCACACGCTGATCTGGCGAGCCAAGAACGTCTTTAAACAGGACAAGACTGTTAAACGGTCATTAATCGTCCAAATGTTTGCTTGGTTGTTAAGTGAATACAAAATGTTTGATCACACATATAATCCTGAACACTTATAAGCAATCATCTGTATGTTAATCCTTGTATTAATCTCAGTGGTCTTGTGTTACTTATGTACCTTTAAACTGAATGATCACTGATCTTAAATGGTTCTCTTGTGATCTGTACAACATCATACTGAGTTATTTTTTATTGATTTATTTTATTTGTTGATTAGCGTTAAAATTTCACAATACGATTGAATTAAAGGCTGTCGCAGACAGAGTAATAAACAAACAAGGCCAGTCAAAAGGTATCGGCTGAAACACGTGCCTATTATGCTGCCAACCCTTTTTAAGAAAGGAAAAATCCAATCCAATCCAATCCAGTTTTATTTATAAAGCACATTCACAAGGCATTATAACCAAACAAGGCGCTGTACACTAAAAATGTTGTTAATTAAACAGGTGTTATATAAACATGTCGAACACAGATAAAAGATAAAAAGGAAATACAACAAAATTCCCAAAAATAACAGCTAAAAATCAATAAGACACAGGGTGAAGTAAAAATAGGAAAAAACATTTTACAAAGAACCTCAATAGTACGGAAGTCGATAATTGTGGGGTCAGTTTATAAACAGTGCAGATGTCAGAGAGGTTCATAATTATGTTGTATAAGCTAGGTTGAAGTAGTGAGTTTTCAGGCGTGATTTAAAAATGCTAGCTGTTGGTGCTAGCCTCACTAGCAGTGGTAATGCGTTCCACAGCTTCGGTGCACAGACAGAGAAAGCCCTCTCTCCACGTCTTTTAAAACGTCTATTGGGAACAGCTAGGAGGAGCTTATCTTCAGACCTGAGAGCACGCGGCGGGTTGTAGTAATGGACAAGTTCACACAGATATGGAGGAGCTTGATGGTTCAAGGATTTGTAAGTGAGAAGCATAATTTTGAAGTTTATCCTGAACTGCACGGGCAAACAGTGGAGAGATTTCAGAATTGGAGAAATGTGTTGTCTTCTGTCAGCTCCAGTCAGCAACCTAGCTGCTGAATTCTGGACCAGCTGAAGTCTAGAAAGAGCTGCTTTACTGATGCCATATAAGCAGGAGTTGGAGTAATCCAGCCTTGAGGTGATAAAAGTGTGGACCACCGATTTCAGAAGACGTACACTCAGGATGTGCTTTAATTTTGAGATGCGTCTTAGTTGGTAAAAACATGATTTAACTGTGTTATTGACCTGGGCAGCCATCTTCAGAGCCTGGTCCATTTTTACTCCAAGGCTGGAGATTACAGAGGATACATTAGGTGAGAGATAGTTGAGGTCAGGTTGATGAGTTGCCGTGATACTGTTAGGACTGAAAACGATTAAGTCAGTTTTGGAGTCATTGAGATGGAGGAAGTTGTCAGCTAGCCATTGCTTGACCTCAAGGATACAATCAGACAGAACTTTCGTTGACTGAGTTGGCTTAAATGAAAAGTAGATTTGACAGTCTTCAGCGTAAAGATGGTATGAGACAGCGTGCTTTCTGAAAATGGCTCCTAAAGGTAGTATATAGAGGTTGAACATTAACGGGCCGAGAATTGAACCTTGTGGGACACCCCAACGTAGAGGCTGTGACTCGGATGAACAGCCGTCCAACATGACCCTAGCAGACCTGTTACAAAAGTATGACCTAAACCAATCCAGGGCAGTGCCTGAAATGCCAGCCCAAGTGTGAAGTCTTGTGATCAAAAATACTTTTTCATATAGTTCATATACATAAGGCTTAACGCCAACGGGAAGAACAAGACATATCTAAACCAAAAACATAAAAAACAAGATTAAATCAGTGTCCTGAGGGTAACTGTGTGAAACTGATGTAAGTGCTGTAAACAGAGGTCACACCAGCCTCAAGTGGCGCCGCTTCCACTCGTAGCACATGACCAAGGTCAATGGGAGGAAACTCTGGTTATCCTAACCTAAGCCTCCCCATACGAGAAAGGAGTCTCAGGTAATCAATGAATCTAATCGGGAGGTTCCCCCAGCCATTTCTCAGTGTTAGTATTATTTAAATATTTTTCTACACTTGCTTGTTCATCATTTCATTTTGTTGCAGTATTTTAGGATGTTTACTAATGGGTGCACACATTATGTAATTTATCTTATACATAGCATATCTGATCATTAACTATTTTTATTTTGCTGAGATTGGAAGAACTGGCTGAGAGAGAGAGAGAGAGAGAGAGAGAGAGAGAGAGAGAGAGAGAGAGAGAGAGAGAGAGAGAGAGAGAGAGAGAGAGAGAGAGAGAGAGAGAGAGAGAGAGAGAGAGAGAGAGAGAGAGAGAGAGAGAGAGAGAGAGAGAGAGAGAGAGAGAGAGAGAGAGAGAGAGAGAGAGAGAGAGAGAGAGTGTGTAACAGTGTAACTCCAGGCAGGAAGTGGAACATTCCATCTGGCTGCTGGAAGCGGGGGACTTGATCATGAAGAAACCAGAAGTTCTGAAGCTCTAATTCAGCTTACCACATTTTGTGAAGATGTATTAGTTTAACCTCTTTGTTGTAGTTATACTTTAACTTAGTTTCCTAGGTTTATTTACCGTTTGTCTTAGTGTTTCCCCCACCCTCATTGTCCGTAGGCTAGCCTTTGTGTAGAAACTCAGGCTTAGTAAGTCTCGTTTCTTACTTTTAGTTAAGGTTATTTTAGTGGCCATTTTTTTGGACCCCTTTTGTCTCAGTTTTTGTTAGATTTCCATGCTTATGGGTTTTTTGCAAACTATTTATGGAAAAATAAATGGAGAATATATATATTTTATACCTTTGTCCTGGAGTCTTACTGCTCGGTCCCTGACACTAACACATTTGACCAGGTCAGAAATAAACCAGTAGAGATGATGTTTCCTTTTGGGTTCAAAAACAAAAACCCTTTTAATGAATAAAAGTTTAAAATAGTAAAAGAACAAGTTACATAAAGCATTTAAAATGTTCAATCACATCTTTTCCTTTATTCCTCTGTAATTGTGTCTCTAGTCAGGATAGAAAAGATAAAACATGTAAATAAGAAAATGATTAACAAAAAATGTTTTTAGCTATTTTATATACATTTCTGTTTGATAATAAAACAAAACAAACCCTTAACTAATGAGCAAAACTTTTAAGATAACTGAAGTTTAAATGCAAAGACAAAAACTTGATAAGTAAAAGATAAAATGTAAGTATGCTGATTAAATAAAAATGAGTATTTTTTACAAAAACTACAAATTCCTTTTTAATTTTGACCAATAATTGGCTGCAGCCATACCCTGAATTTGTCATTCCCCATTTTCTAAACGTTTCCCGCTTCTGGTTTAGCTCGCCTGTTTCTTTTCAAACATCCGGTTTTACAACAATTGCACATGACATGTCAGCAATGGTTCTGTGTATTTACAATAAAGTACATATCATATAATCAGGTTTACAGCAAATCACAATAAAGAAAAAAACATTAAAAATTATAAAAGAATATTTCTAGAGAACCTAGAATCTAAACCAACACTTTTCTTCTTCTTGTTGAATAAAGAACGAAAAGATAAGAAAACGATATTTTATATAGCGCCTCAAGATAAAAATAACAAGGCGTTTCACAAAAACAAAAATAATGCAAGTATAAAAATATTTTAAAAAAATGTTTATAAAAATTATGAATAAAAAATTAAGGAAAGGGAGAGAGAAAATGAACAAGAAAGAGGGAAATCGGTGGATACCGGGAAAGGCATAACAAGAGCAGAACAAGGAAAGTGTGGTCTAAAGTAGCATGCCATTAAGTCTAAGCTAAGTGTGTGACCTACTTTTTATGTAAATTAGAAAGTTAAAAAGGTGAAAAACTCCTGTTTTGAGAAAGCCTTCCCTAAAGCCCGGATCACACTGTGATTTTTGGCCGTCACACAGGATTGTTCACGTCACACTGAGAACTCCAGAAAGGTGGCACACTGTATAGAAAGATTTCAGTGAGCCAGACTGTACGACGTCTCTCTCCTGCAGGACACGCTGCATAATGAGCACACCTCCCAAAGCATACGTCACTAAGCAGACCGCTAACCATAACAAGGCTGAAAACATAAAAACATTTTTAGCGTCTTTTCCCAGCTTCCAGCTAAACAGTATCTGCTTGCTGGTCATTCATCCTTCTCCTTTATACACAAGAGAACCTGTTAAACAACAGAGAAGTAAGAATCTGTCACAGATGGCTGTAATATCTAAAGTTTTGCCGTGATTTCTGTCTCACTGCTCCGCAGATCCACTCCATGTGACAGCTCACACCCGCGGTCGCAGAGCTTCCTCTGTCCCTCTCACAGATCACATGATCACAGTTATCACAATTTATCTGAGGATTAAAAATGTAGTTTAATCATTTTAGTATAACTTCAGTTTAACTTGGGATAATAACAGAAATAAAAACTAGTGTGTAATTTATACTCCGCATTTTAAACATAAATTGAAACCGAAGCTCAGAGAGGCGGAGTCTTGCTGCTTTGGCGTTCCAAAGGTGTGTTTTGATTAGTCGATCGCAGACAGAAATCGTAGGTTTCCAAGCACCCTGATGTTGACCGTTTTTTTGTCACGATTCTGCTCAGGACAAGGGATTTGGCAAAGACGGACAAAAATCGCACAGTGTGATCTCGGCATTAGATGAAGAGAAGCAGCTGGTGATTGTTCCTCCTAACCAGCAACAAAACTTGCCCGCAACTTTGCAGCAAAGTCGAGGCATTTGGTCATTTATAAGTGTGAGTTTGTGGTGGTAATGTGGCACACAATCATGCGTTTTCACAAAGATTATGTGATGGTGGGATAAAGTGGGTGGTGGGACCATCACAGCAGCCTTTGATCTCGTCTAACCTGTACAATAAATAATTGGATTGTATGTTTTATGACTCTGCTGTCCTTTATCATTTCTTAACATGATAATCACCACCTGACTGGTCCTTTGAATACAGCTAATTGTGGTTAATGATCTAAATCATGTAGGCTACTCATTCATTCAAGGAATTAATTTTGGTTTCAAAGGTGGATGGTTAAACAAATGACATTATCTGGGGGGGGGGGGGCACTGATACATTTACAAGGATAAAGCTGGGCAGACACTGTGCGACTTTTTCACTTGTAGCACTCAGCTTCAGCTCAAACTGTACGACTTCCTCGCAGGGCAGATCTCACGAGTCATGTGCTCACGCTGTATGACCCAGTTCTCGGAGGTGACTGCTCACACTGTACGTCTGGTAGCAACACGTCGGACGTAAAAATATGCTACAAATAGCAGTTTTTACTCAACACGTCAGACTTTTTTGTCTCGACTGTTGTCCTTCGGGAGTGCTGCAGGGGGACACACAGGGATTTATGGGGTTGGATGAGGAAGACGAAATAAAGAAAGTAAATTTATGTTTTGTGATCAGTTTAATTCGACATGAACACGACAAACACGCTTTCTTGACAATCTTTGTGAGTAAAAGAACGTGTAGAAATAAAAACGAACAATGTGTGTTATTAGGAAAATAGCGGACGAGCGGTGTTGATGCATGATTGCGCATGCGCCGTGAGCGGTTCTGATACTTTTGGGGTCGCAGCTGCTCTCAGCGCCGCTTCAACAGTGCGATACCCTCACGAGGGACGAGCAAAATATCAAACACTCCACAAGTCTGCGCGAGCTCACAATTGCTGATCGGTAGCTGGTCACGTGGTGTTAATAGCCTCTCGTAACCCCCCGACACGACGCTCAGAGCAAAACTCACCCCGATCTTGTGGATTCTCGCACGAGTGGAAAATCGGCTCAAAAAAGTGAAAAAGTCGCACAGTATACGCCCGGCTTAACAGGAACCCTTTTAGTTACATGGATGCTTTGTTTCCTGTGTGGACTCTCATGTGTTTCTTTATATTTCCCTTATGGCTAAACCTTTGTCCACAGAGCTCACAGGCAAAAGGCTTCTCTCCTGTGTGAACTCTCCTGTGTCTCTTTAAATTTCCATCTTGGCTAAATCTTTGTCCACAGAGCTCACAAATAAACGGCTTCTGCCCTGTGTGGACTCTTGCATGTGTGTCTAAACCTCTCTTGTCGCAAAATCTTTGTCCACAGAGTTCACAAGTAAATGGTTTCTGTCCTGTGTGGACCCTCATGTGTCTCTCTAGAACTCCCTTTTGACTAAATTTTTGTTCACAGAGCTCACAGGCAAAAGGCTTCTCTCCTGTGTGAACTCTCCTGTGTCTCACTAAAGTTCCACCTTGGCTAAATTTTTGTCCACAGAGCTCACAAGTAAAAGGCTTCTGCCCTGTGTGGACTCTTAAATGTGTGTCTAAACTGCTCCTGTTGCTAAATGTTTGTCCACAGAGTTCACAAGCAAAAGGCTTCTCTCCTGTGTGAACTCTCATGTGTTGGTTTAAACTTGAATTTGCACTAAATCTTTGTCCACAGAGCTCACAAGCAAAAGGCTTTTCTCCTGTGTGGATTCTCATGTGATTGTTTAAACATGACTTTTCACTAAATCTTTGTCCACAGAGCTCACAAGCAAAAGGCTTCTCTCCTGTGTGAACTCTCATGTGTCTCTTTAAATGTCCATCTTGGCTAAATCTTTGTCCACAGAGCTCGCAAATAAACGGCTTCTGCCCTGTGTGGACTCTTACATGTGTGTCTAAACCTCCCTTGTTGTGAAATCTTTGTCCACAGAGTTCACAAGTAAACGGTTTCTGTCCTGTGTGGACCCTCATGTGTCTCTCTAGAGCTCCCTTTTGACTAAATTTTTGTCCACAGAGCTCACAAGCAAAAGGTTTCTCTCCTGTGTGGAATTTTACGTGTCTCTTTAAAGTTCCACTTTGGCTAAATCTTTTTCCGCAAAGCTCACAAGCAAAAGGTTTCTCTCTTGTGTGGACTCTCATGTGTTTGTCTAAATTTCCCTTATGGCTAAATCTTAGTCCACAGAGCTCACAAACAAAAGGCTTCTCTCTTGTGTGGACTCTCATGTGTTTGTTTAGATCTCCCTTAGAGGTAAATCTTTGTCCACAGAGATCACAAGCAAAAGGCTTCTCTCCTGTGTGAACTCTTATGTGTTTTTTTAAATATGACTTTAGACTAAATGTTTTTCTACATTCATCACAACTAAAGGACTTTGGTTTTACCTGGACTCCCCTGCACGAGTCTACATTTTGCTTTACTCCAACAAGTTTCTTATTCATACTTGTAGGCCTCATATCTGAATGACTTGTAATGGTCACATGCTCCTGGAGAGACTGCTTGTGGCGAAATTGTTTGCCACACTCAGGGCAGGTAAAACATTTGACAGACCTAACATCTGATTTAGAAGAACTACTTTCATTCAAGTCTTTGTTTTCATCTTCAGTATTTTGCTTAGAGTCTGACAAGAGGTCAGAATTGTTCCCATCCTGGTCATCTTCATCCTCACTTATTTCAGTCTCATAGGAGTTTAACTCATCTTCATCAGGGTTCATATCTGGATTCCTGTGTTGTTCTGCTCCTCTACAGTCTTCTTTACTACTTTCTCAAGCTGACAAGAAACTGCAGCAAATGAAATCCTGGTGGCGTAAGTGTCCATTTCGTTAATCTGCTCCCCCTCTTCCACAGCCACATTGAGGGGCTCCTAGTCCTTCTGGCTAACACAGGGCCTTCGTTCTTCAAGAGCTGCTTCTTTGATCAGCACCGTTAATGTTTTGAGAACACTGAAACACACAAAACAGAAATGTTAACCCTCTGGAGTCAACCCACATGCCGGTCAGATTACTCCTGATGTTACATCTGGCGAGGGCCGCCTGAGAAACGCTCCCCTGGCCCTCTTAATATGTACAGGAAACCACAATGGATAAACAGTAGAAATGATGTTCAATGGGACCAGGTGCTGAACCCTGCTAGGAGCATGTATGACATGCAGACACTTTGGAGTGCATGAAACGTGCGTCACCCCGCTGCACGCTAAAGCGGACACAGACAAACCTGTTCCTTGAGTTTCTTTCATTCAGTTAAAACACACCCGTCAACACCTTCCTGATTACCGTGTAAGGGGTATACAACTTCCTAAGAAATGGCTGGTTTCAATCACCCTTTGTAAGACAGGCTGTTTACAGGAAAGTGGAACAGATAAGAACCGATAAGACGGAATGACCAGTTCAAACTAGTTTCAACAGGTCATCATGTTCTCCGCATATAGTAGTAGTAAGTCGGACCTGTTCCCGGTGAGGGTTGGACTCCGCCAGGGCTGCCCTTTGTCACCGGTTCTGTTCATTACCTTTATGGACAGAATTTCTAGATGCAGCCGTGGTGTGGAGTGTGTCGTTTGATGGCAGGAAAATCTCGTCTCTGCTTTTTGCGGATGATGTGGTCCTCCTAGCTTCATCCAGCTCTGACTTCAGCTCTTGCTGGGTAAGTTCACGGCCGAGTGTGAAGCGGCTGGGACGAGGATCAGCACCTCCAAATCTGACACCATGGTTCTCGACCGGAAAAGGGTGGCTTGCCAACTCCGGGTCGGGAGAGAGGTCCTACCTCAAGTGGAGGAGTTTAAGTATCTCGGGGTCTTGTTCACGAGTAAGGGTAGGGGGGATCGGGAGATCGACAGGCGGATTGGTTCGGCGTCTGCAGTGATGCGGACGCTGAGCCGATCCAGGCTCTCAATTTACCGGTCAATCTACGTTCCAATCCTCACCGATGGTCATGAGCTTTGGGTAATGACCGAAAGAACGAGATCGCGAATACAAGCGGCCGAAATGAGTTTCCTCCGTAGGGTGGCCGGGCTCAGCCTTAGAGATAGGGTGAGGAGCTCGGACATTCGGGAGGGACTCGGAGTAGAACCGCTGCTCCTCCGGATGGAAAGGAGTCAGTTGAGGTGGTTTGGGCATCTGGTCAGGATGCCTCCTGGACGCCTGCCCGGGGAGGTGTTTCGGGCATGTCCTGCCGGTAGGAGGACCCCGGGTAGACCCAGGACACGTTGGAGAGGTTACATCTCCAATCTGGTCCGGGAACGCCTTGGGGTCCTGCCAGAGGAGCTGGTGGAGGTGGCCGGGGAGAGGACGGTCTGGAGCTCCCTAGTTGGGATGCCGCCCCCGCGACCCAGACCAGGATAAGCGGAGGAAGACGACAACGACGACATCATGTTCTCTGCTGGGACATGCACACAGGCACACCCTAACAGTCACAGATAAAAATTGCATTTATATTGGCAATAAGTGTTTATAGTTGTAGGAGCCATATGTGTTTTTTTTTTTTTTTCATTTTCTTTCTGCATACCTGAGAGGAGGCTTGGCCTCATTTGATTGGCAAATTGATTGTGGAAGCACCAGCCTACTTAAGCCAACACAGATTAGACTCAGGTGTTGCTGAGATGGGACAAACAGTTTTTTTACTGTGTGGCGAGGACTGTGGCTGTGTGTAACGGACTCAGCGGACTGTCATTGGGGCAAGTAACACATTCATTGAAAACCGCTTTAACTGCTGTGAATGGATCATAAACTTTGTGGAAGAAGACAAATTAATAAACATCAACAGAAATAAACACAAGCAATTCTTTTAAACGCACATAAAGACCACCAACCGCCTCAGTAACCAGTAGTGCCAGTGTATAGGGCACTGGTATTACAATAATGATAAGCAGTTAGTGTCAGTAATTTCCCTAACAGATTCATACTAGCCTAAATGTCTGGAGAAATGATCCAGTCTGCCTAATAAAAGATAAAATGACTACCTATTAGATTTTTAAGGACTTTACATTTTTTAAACTTAATTTCTACTTCTGCAGTTGTTAATATATAAAAATAAATTAAATTTGAAACAAAATAGCTGTTGACACCTTTAATTTAATTGATAACTATTAGCAAGAATAATAATTGGACTAGAATCATTTATTTTGTTATCTAAAATTAGAATTAGGCTACAAAAGGTGTGATTGTTGAATAAATGTTAAAATGGGAAATGGACCACCACACAGAGGAGACGGTCATGCTTCTGCTCACAGACCGATGCCATGAATAATGAGGTGCTTCATTAAATTGCTAGAGACATAATTTAGCTCAGTTTGATTTTACTTTACCTAAATGCAGCAACAGCTTTTCCACAACCTCGGAGGAGTTTAGATCCGGGCAGGTGATGTGCTGCAGCTCAGGAATATTCTACTGGGAAAGAACAGAAATTTAGCACAGAAAATATATTTAGTACTATTAGAACAGGTGGTGGTGTGATGGTTAACTTACTGCTTTAGCAGCACACTGCTGTGTCACTCTCTCCTGCTGCCACACAGCTCTGGGATCAGTGAAACAGACAGCCCCGGCCGATCGGAAAAGCTTCAGAGGGGCGTAAATATAATGATTAATTGCAATTTTTGCACTAGGACAGAGCCAACCCCTATATATATGTGTGTGTGTGTGTGTGTGTGTGTGGTTAGAGTTTTCAGATATTACGCTTCATGCGTGATATTATCTGTCTGCAATAGAAACACATGTAGAAACTGTATGATGAGGCTTATGCTAAAAGAACACAAGCTTTCTTTGTGTCTAGAAGAGGATGTCTCCCACATGACTATTCCTTCTGCTGCTGATAAACTGGGGGGTGTCTAGAACACTAAGTATGGATTTTTCCTCTCTCTCTGTGGTCAGAACCATTCTGACCCGGTTCTTATCACAGTAACAACCCCTCTTTAATAAAAACTGCATGAGGAGCAGGCAAGATTCAGAACATGCTTCAGAGTTTGCTTGTTCTCCTCTATAGAGTAAAAACTCAGCTGATGTCTCAAAGTTGTCTGTCTGTTCCAATCTTGGGGTTGTAGGGTGTATATATATATACACAGTAAAAACATGCAAATGGTGAACGGTTGGATTTAAAATGATGACTTTTGTCATCAATGGCAGTGAATGAGTTATAAAGACATGGACATCAGCAGCCTACTCTGATCTTTTCATTTTTAAATGGCAAAATGACATTGGTAAAAGTTGTAAATTTTGGTAATGATAAATTTTCAGTTTACTGCCCATGTCTAGATAACTTCATTATTATTTAATACAATTTTATCACGTGATACTGCTCATTTCCTTATGTGTGGGCGGCAGCTTTGTGTTTCCATGGGTATGTTCTGTTTTTGTGGAGCGTTTTATGCCATTGTTTAAGTTAAAGTCCCATAGTTAACACACACTGGTGTGTGATGAAAATTGACCTTTACATTTGAACCATCCCCATGGGGAGTGGTGAGTTGCAGACACGGTCGTGATTGGGAACCATTTGGTGGTTTGACCCCCCAATCCAACACCTTAAAGCAGAGTGTCAAGCAGGGAGGCATTGGGTCCCATTTTCAAAGTTATTGGTATGACCTGATCAGGATTTGAACCCTAATCTCCCTGTTGTTGGTCTTTTTCTTCTATGAGACCAGACAGGTTCGGAGTAATGGAGTGGAAACCTATTGTTGGTAGAGAGAGTGGAGTCAATAACCAGAAGATCGGTCTGTTTTTCACCGCTGCAGAGGGGAGAACGGAACAGCTTCCCAACTAACACCGCGTTTAGTTCTGTCTGCTGCACCCAAGTGTTCTCAAACTCCTTCTGACCATGCAGCTGTATTTATTGAGAAATAATGGAATGTAACATACGCAGTCTGACATCTGCACAGGCAGATGCACGTCATTAGTCTTGATAAGCAGGAGCTAATTGCCTTGTTAGTCAGGAACTAATATATCACAAGAACATGTAATTCTGAGATTAGCAGGAACATCCTGGTACATCCTTGATAACAGAGACACACGCTGGTACAGAGAGAAACTGGAATGTCTCACTCCCATTTGGAGTTATGCAGCTGTTTAGAGCTTGTGCAGGAGAGAAGCACTTAATATTATAACATGATTCCATAATGTAGAAAATAGCATATGATAATGTATAAAAGAGCTTATATGAGAGATACATATATTTTCAATGTCTCAGGGCAGACACTCTACCACTAGGCCACTGAGCTGGTCACCTGTGTGGGGAAACCCCACTGGATTTCATATTGTTTGTAGTAATGTTCACATATGATGGCAACCAATAATTTAAATGTTTTTCTCAATAAAATTAATAAATAAAATTGCCTCTGTAAAGTACAGTACTGGAAAAACCTCATCGTGAACATCCTTTTTTTAAGGACTGGATCATAATTTGTCCACCACACTGCTCATCTGTCGCTCCCCCATCTGCACATAACCCTGTGTGCAAAAATCACATGTCACTTTTTTTTGAGTGGCATGGTTCATACTCATCTTACACCTTTACTGGCTTCAGGGTAAAAGGTGTCTCCATGGTCAATGTTGCAGTGTGGCTAAATTATATTCTCTCTTAATAACTTTAGATTTATTTATATTTATGTACATGATTTAGACCAAATTCTCCTATAGAGGAAGATGTATAGGTCTTTGTGATAACATGCTTTTTCTTTTTAGAGAGCAGATGTTTCATCACGGGCCGAAGTGTTCATTATCAACGCATTGAGGCTTTGGCGTGATTTGTGGCAGTCAGTGGTATGCAACTACCATGCAGTGTTCCAGTACATAGAAACTACGGGTGCTCTTGATTCTGACAATGAGATCCACCTGCTGTGCCTGCACTACGTAATGATTCCAAGAATCAACGCCCACCTAAATGTCTTCAGAAGAACTTGGGACAGACACCGCATTTCCTCTGCTGGAAACCGCTCCCCTGACCAGCTGTGGATCTCCGGGCAATTGACAAGTGAAGTGGAACCAACTCAACCAGTATGAAAAATATATTTGTATTTTTGAGTACTGCTCTGCTTTTACATGTTAAATGTGCAAAATTTTTTGTCATTAATATTGTTTTGAATATTTGTTTGTCCACACAGGTCAGCCTCAGTGAATGGGGCAATGACTTTGAGGGATCTTTACCAGCCTCTGATTCCACTGCTGACATTGTCGTGCCAGAGCATCCAGACTCACTAATACAAAATGTCAACAGATTGTCGGACAGAATAGACCCGTTAACAGCCAGCTCATGATTTGGAGCAGACTTGTACATGGAAGCACTGCGACTGGCTGAACTTTAATTCTCTTCTTAGTGTTCAAAGTAGTTGCTGTTTTTAGCATCAAAGTAACTTGCTCTAAAAGTGTATAATCAAACTGTAAATGCCTGATCATGTGCTTCACTTGAAAAAAAAAAAAGTCTGTCATGAGCAGGACTTAAGATAATGTGTCAACATAAAATGAACAGGTATTGATGGCTAAGACACAGATGGGCTGATGACACGTGTGTTCCTTCTTGATTTGTGTTAGTATTGTTTATTTTTTTTTTTTTGGGGGGGGGGGGTGTTATTGAGACATGAATACTTGTAGCACTACATGAATGTCATTCCTATACCTTTTGTGAACGAACAACCAGCCCTTATTAAACAAATTGCACCAAAATGCAAAAATGACTACACAAGTCTACAACACTGTTAAACACTAATTTTTATCAGTAAAATATGTGACTTTGTTGTGATGTTGATGAATTTCTTTAACCCTCCCACTGTCTATGGGTGACCCCGCGAGGAAAGTTTACCATTGAGCAGGGTTGATGGTTTATCCCTTGAAGTCCACGTGGCAGGGGTGAGGTGGTGTTCACTCCTCACCCCTGCCACATGGACCCAAGGGATAAACCATCAACCCTGCTCAATGGTCAGCTTTCCTCGTGGGGTCACACACCTTTTCAACAGTGGGAGGGTTAATCTACAAAAACACTTATTGAAGAATGGCTACAGTTTTATTGAGCTTTAAATTTTAATAGATTAGCAGGCGGTGACTTAAATAGGCTACAGGTTGCTGACTAATTAAATAAAGTTCTTTTTCCACTTTTAAAATTCAGGTCAAACTCCAGCTGTTTGTTGTAGTAAAGTTTGACTTGCTGTGTGTGGTATAAAGTATAAATTCAGCCATACTCTTATTTTTCTTTTGACAAGATCATCTGAGGAGAAAACTTCACATCCCATAACCTTCAGCAGAGACAACAGTAAGTTTAGTGCAACAAAACTATTGTTCCCCTAAGGGAAATGATTATCAAACACATTTTACATATATAGTTTTAATAAAGATAACATCAAAATTTTAATAATTACTAACCTGTAATTCAATACAAAGGATTTAAAATCCAGAGATGAAAAGTACATATTAGTTAGCTCTGGCTTTTTCTCTGATATGTGCAAGAAAACCAAACTATTTAAAAAGAAAACGCCATCAATTAATAGAATGGAGTTAACGCAGCACCTGATCAACGCTAACAGGCTGTCAGCTTTACAATATGCTTAAAGTTAATCTGTATAACAGTGTGTTCTGTCAAAGAAGCAACTGTGATTGCAGGTCTCGCCGTAAGTCATACGTTTAATAAAAGTTAAAACAAAAAAAAAAACCTGCATCTTATAGAGTAAGTGACTCTCCGAGACATGCTAATGGCTAGCCTCTACGATGCTAACGCCAGCCTATCCATGCTAATGGTCCGTCGAGGAGGTAGGAAATCCAGCTAGTGGCCAGCCTAGGCACGCTAATGGCTAGCCTCTCCCATGCTAACACCAGCCCGTCCAGGCTAACGCTAGCCTATCCATGCTAATAGACAGCAGAGGAAGTGTGAGATCCAGTCAATGACCAGCCGAGGGCAGCTAGTCCCTAGCATATCTAGTAGTGACGCCGGTAAAGGTGCTACTTCTCAGTAAGCAGCGCCAGCCTCTCAGTTACCGGCGTCAGCTTATCATTAATCAGATCAGTAGTTTGCTTCGGAACTTCTATAGCCTCCTGCTGCTGGGCAGTAGTCTTAATTTTGGCCCCCATACCGCGCCATATTGATCTGGGAACGGCGGCGCAGCGCTTGGAAAGAGCCGAGACTGAGCAGCAGTTCCGAATAAATAAGGAAACTGACTTACTGGTGGTGGGAGACAGTGTGGAAAGATCCATTTCCTGGTTTGAGGGCTGCCTGAGAACTCGGGTCGATAGCTGGCATGAACGACGACTGAGTGATGAATGAGCGCCGCCGCGGCGGCACTTCTCTAAATAGAGTCGGCGTGATGACGTCGACGAGCCACGCTGGTGATGAGAATGCTGGGAAGTGTAGTAGTCCGCCAGTTGGGTCCGTAGGGGGTGGTCAGGAGGAGGAGTTCGTGACAGAGACAGTGTTTGAACTATCCGGCATTCTGATGGCAGAAAACTTTCTACATGCACCCTCCACACCTGATGAAGCAGTTGAATTGTACTTATTTTTAGGAGCTGGCATACGTACAAACTTATGAAGCTTGTGATATTAGCTTTTTTTTAAAAAAGGAAATTTTGCCCTGCAAAGGACTGGTCATGTGCCAATGGTGGCTCCACCCCTTGCCTGCAGACAGTTGGTGATAGGCACCTCTCCACAAACTGTAAAAGATAAGCAGTCAAGAAAATTGGTGGAAAATAAAATAAAATGTTTCCTGCTTTTCATCAACTTATATGTATTTTGCTTTAAATTAGACCCTCACATGCACCTATACTGATTTCATCATAATGTAAGAATTTTGCTGCTCAGCTTGATGTTGGAGAATTCTTGTTGCGTATGACAGCAAAAATATGTCGGGACATAAATGGAGGATTAACAAAATACAATCCTACCTTTACTCACTGCTCGGTATACATTCTAAATATAATTTGCATTATTTATAAAAGCAAGACTTTCCTGTTCTCTGTAACTGAACACTGAAATCAGAGTTATAAACTGTGATGAATATGATTTGGGTATGGTAAAATGAACTGAAAAATAGGGTGGTCACGTGGGTCTGATGCTCATTAACTATACAGAAATTTAGGCTTTTAATACACTTAAACAGAAGAGTGAGAAAAAAATTCACCCCCCTCAGAGTTGTCATGAGTGTAAACTAGATCATTTAAACAAAAAACATGTTTTGGAACCAGGCTGTAAACATGTTTATTTCTGCTGTGAATTTGGTATTTTTAACATGGGAGTCGATGAGGATTTGCTCGCTTCTGACACCAGCCCCTAGTGGATGAGGGTGGAACTGCAATTTATTTCACTTCCGGTGTCGGTGCAAGATCGGCTCGGGGTCCTTCGACTGCCAATGACGTCAAAGTACGGCAAACCCACTCGGACAAAATACACTACACATCTATACTGTTGGAAAGAATTTAGCAGTTTCGTTATTAAAATAATGTTTCTTACGACGTAAGTTTGTGTTTATAATGGTATTTGTAAAATAAAACACTATATTGTATTCGTAATGTTGAACTCCTCTTTGAGCACATCCCTTGAAGGATCATAGGTATTAGCAACACCTGTGAAACAGTATTTGCAGGAAAGAAGTGTGTCCCGTTTATTGAAGTATTTTGTGTTTAGAGTTTTTGACGTCTTGTCCAAGCGTAGTTCAGTTACGCTCATAGCTGCTAGCCAAAACTCTGGTGTTAAAAGTTTTCTGGCTTTACTAAAATACCTGTCTGTACTTATTTGATTGATGGTAGTTTTACTTTCTATTAGACTCCAAATGTAATCATTTGGCACGTTTCTAATTCATAATTTGTAAGAATGTAATCGGTGATATTAGCATTAGCATTCCTATGGGTTTTTGGTTTTTCCACATATATTAGCATTGTGCTAACCACTCGCTGCCAAATTGCAGCCTTTGCGATTAGAAAATCTCCTTTTGTCACATCGCAATTTAATTGCACATGCAGTTAATCATTCAGCCCTAATATACATGCAGCTCTATGCTAAAAGTGTATTTTCAAAGAGGTAATGATGGATTTCTTTGTAAAAGTTGTCCATCTTTCCAACAGAAAGATTTGCCTGGACTAACGTAACGTGATAACAACGTAACGTGATTACGTAATTCCGTAAGGTTCATGTTCAGCCAATCAACTACTTTGACGTCATCGGCAGTCGACGGACCCCGAGCCGATCTTGCACCTGAGCAGATCTTGTACCGACACCGGGATTGCTTCAGTTTTTCACCCACATTGTGGGGGCTTGGGTAAAGCCCACATAAACAGAAATGTGCACCCCAACAAATAAGACAACCGACACCCAAATCACATCTGTCAGCCAGAACCGGCCCGCTAGCAAAAAAAATTAACCCAGCAAATCATTTTGTATTTTCACTATTTCTTAACTTTTGTTTTATTTATTGACATTCATTCATTAATTATAAGCTCTTAGGAAATGCTTTCTGAAAAAGTTAGGAAATATTCAAAAGATAGATTAGGTTAATAAATAAGATGATTACAGTAATAAATAAGATAGATGGATAAGGGATTGATCTTGTGAAGGAGATTTTCAACATTCATAAAACCAGATAAACAATGTCTAGAAGGAGGTAGCAGCAGCAATGGAACAACAGTTTCAAATTATTTTATTTACATAAAAACTATTAACAGACTGAAAAATGTACTAGGATTTCTTTGCAACAGCTACAGATGAAAGGTGATCCAACGTTGTTTCGATTCGTCACAGCGGCGATTCAAGCATCCGTAGGCTGCACAAAAGTCAGGCATGTTGACCCTCAAGCTTCACAATGAATAAAGGTGTATTTCTGCAAACATAAATCCAGAAATGTCCTGTTTTAATATGTGTGAGTCAGAATTAGAGCAAGTGTGTGTCAGCAGAGGAGTGTTTTGAAGGGTTTTTTAATGTCAGACTGTTTTTAAAATTCTGGGGATGGGAGGGAATGTGGGTATGTGGGGCCTTTTTAATTTGTTAAGCACTTTGAGTTGCATGTAATGTAGGAGTAAGTGGCAGTACGCAGATTGAAAGGAAAAACAAACAAAAAACTAAATTCTATTCAACAAACCACTTTGTTATACTCAATCGCCAACTTATTGTCACATTATGCAGGCGGTTAGGGCCCAAAAATGCAGAACACTCAAGACAGGAGAAAGTGATGAGTAAATCCTTTATTTAAAGGAGGAGGCTTGGTCCAGCAGTCATAAAACAAAAACGGAAGCTCAACACACGAGCTCGAGCTCGGGAAGAACACGGGAGGGAACAGGAGCAACACAGACAAGTATAATGGACCGACAAACACTGAAGGACGAGACAGGGTTTTTAAACACAGAGGGAGGTGATCAGGGGAACGGTTGACAGGTGTGAGGAGTGAAATCTGGAGGGAAGGCAGGTGCATTCAATTACCTAAATGAGGGGAAAGAACAAGCAGGACGGCAGACAAACCTAAACCTATAAAACACGGATAAACTAAACCTAAAGACAGAGGGCAAACATAAACAACTAATAACTGGATGGATGAGGAGAAGTAATATCAGGGAGTGATAGGAGGACACCTGAGGGAAGCCTAGAGAGAGGACAGGAGGGGCTGAGGCCCAGAGGGACACAGAACAAGACAGGAGCACAGGGACACTTATATTTCCTGTCTTCACCATTTAACAAAGTCTTTACATTCATCTCCCACCTCCTATGTTTTTTAATTTCTCTCGAAGTTTTCCTCTACTTTCCTCATATTTTGTAGTTACATAAAACATGTTCCACAGTTTCCCTCTCTACCCCACATCCACACAAACCCGTGGGATGCTTCCCTATCAGATACATAGTACTATTAAGCCCAGTATGTCCCATTCTGGGCTGCGCAGTGGTTAGAGTTGTTGCCTTGCAGCGAGTGGGTCCTGGGTTCGATTCCCGGCCTGGGACCTTTCTGCATGGAGTTTGCATGTTCTCCCTGTGCATGCGTGGGTTCTCTCTGGGTACTTCGTCTTCCTCCCACCGTCCAAAAACATGACTGTTAAGTTGATTGGTCTGTAAATGGTCCTTAGGTGTGTGTGTGTGTGTGTGTGCATGGTCCTTTGTCTTGTTTGTCTGTGTTGCCCTGAGATGGACTGGCTGTCTGTGTACCCTGCCTGATTGCCCGTTGACCGCTGGAGATAGGCACCAGCCCCTCAGTGCCCTCTTTGCTAAGTGTCCATCGTCCTCACATCCTTGAACACTTGCCCAATAATTTAAAGACAGCTGTTTATTTCTAAGCAGTATTGGCGTATAGGTGTAGTTTTCATCGTTCCACAACACACTCTTAATGCTTGGCTGTCAGGTTTAAGCACCTAAGACACCATATAACAACACAACACAAGGAAAGAGATACAAAAGTCAGAATTCTGTTTTTAAGCTCGAGGAGAATGACGGAGACAACACAGTGTGATCTCCACCTCACTGTGTGAAATCCCTCGCCACTCTGGCCTTTGGAATCCGAGCGTCTCTATTTACTACAAGCTGGGAGCTCCCTAGGTACATGCCTGAAGAGCTGATCTGAAGGAAGGGGGGGAAACACAGCTCTCAGTCTTTAATTGTTACAAGTTTCAAACAAAGAGCATTCGTTATTACACAAAGAACTTTCAGTGTCTAATCACACGATGAGTAGCAAGCAGTTGCACGAGTCAGCAAACGACAGATCAGCAGATCTCCTCAGGTCATCTTTGGGTCACATTAGGTCAGATCTCATGAGGGGACTTTACAATACAGCAACTGTTTAAGTATCAAATGGTAAAATCATTAAGCATAAAACATGATAAATGAAAACAATCTTGAAATGTAATAAAAGCATAAAGCATGATAAAGAAAACATGAATAATTATTCTGTCATTTGCTTTGTATGAGTCCAGTCCTTTTCATTAATGTTTTAGATGCTCAACTGTAAACTATACTCCCATAATCTATTGCTGATCTTATCATTGCAGTATACATGAATTTTAAAGCCTGAGCACTAGCCTCCCACTCATATCTCATTATATTTATTACTTTTTTTAACATCTTTCCTCTATTTTATTTATATGATCTTTCCATATTGACTTTTTTAATCAAATATAACTCCTAGATATTTAAAATTAGTTACTTGCTCCAACTCATTTCCATATAATTTTAAGTTCTCCATTACTTTCCTGCTTTTTGTAAACACCATACTTTTAGTTTTATCCACCAAAAATTTGAAACTCCATTCATATGACCAGTTTTCCACACTTTTAACAGCTTCCTGAATTTTTTTTTGCA